AACCATATCCTAGTGACCCTACCCTGCCCTACTAGGTACGTACTTTCCAATGTACCACGGATCTCCAACGCCACAAAGGCAATATAAACTAGGTATGGATCAATCAATAAGCAGCGGTGTTTCCTCCCAGCCGTCCATTATGCCCGATTCCCGAGCATTAATTCTCCGGTCCGCCCTTCTCCCACTCCTCCGGGTCCCCCGACCAATCCCAACAGGGCATGAATCAAATATATGAGATTGAGATTGGACGCTAGGAGGGAAGATTACCTGTTGCAAACGAATCGGGAATATATACCTTTTCCGGATATATACCCTGGGTGGTTATAGCCACCTGCTGCGAGAGGAGATAAGGAAGGGAGGAAAATCTGATAGTTCACACTTTCGATACGATTATTGAAGTCTGTTAATGAGGTCTATGAGGGCTACTCACGCTCATTATTTCGTACATAATCTACCCATCTACCTAGGTAGGTAATATGGGGTTGTCTGGGTGAGCTGGGGATGAAGTTTGATAGATGTATGGCTACCGACCTATCTAGGTACAAACCTCAATATATATGTTGCAATATAAGGTTACTCACGAAGCACAAATGCGTCACAATATCCCTTTTAGCCGTGTGGTAATCTTTTTCCACAATATATATCCATGTATGTATGTATCTATACAAATGAGGCTTTCTGGAACAAATGCAAACTTCCTCTTTTGGCGCCACCGCTATAGTGACAGTACCCAGGGCCTTGTTCACTGAGTATTTCACATCACTGGTCACCGCTGATATGACTAAACATATATGTAATTCCTGGGTCTCTACTGTTTCTTCAGCCACAACTGCGTCTCTATTCCCTCTGGCGGGCTCACAAATGACTCCAAGCCCTGCACCCAAGGGGCACATGTGGCCACGGAGAAGATGTTTCAAACCTATTTTAGCCCGGGCGAGGACTGGTTGACATCGAGCTCTACCCCCTAGAGCTCAGGATGAGGCAGGGTATTGGTTCTGTTCAAAATCACCGAATGGCTGGCCCAATATGCTTGGTCTAAGCTAACATCTAGAATGATACATTATATTTAAAACTCGACCCGCGCAGCATTTGAATCACGACTGACTAGGCTTTTCATTCGGTCTTACCAGCGTGAAGCATTGACATTGGATTCTTAAAGGGTGTCCAATCGAGTAAAGCTCAACCACTGACCTTCTATCTTCTTCAGCACGATGCTCGCCTCCATGTACGGGAAGAGAACCTTTTTGAAAGATGTATTCTACGGCCGAGCGCCGTCGTCCTGAATGGCCACATTGTAATGCAACAGAGTACACGCCGGCATTAGTCCGATTTTGCTCGCCTTCATATATCGACGGGGAATTGGAGCCAACAAATCATGAGCCCGAAACCCACAAGAGAGAAAAAATCGGAAGATCCAGAGAGTACCATGTGTGCTGGTCATCCTGTTTCGAGTGGGAGGCAATGAACTTATTTGCAGAAGCAGTACTCGTCGAAACCACGAGCATTGACATAGTTGCGCTCGTCAAAGAGGACCAGCGAGTTAGGGGAGAACAGGGAAGTCTCTTTCCGTCCATTGGAAAAGAGAAAGTCCTACGTGACACACTGGGCGAAAGACCCGGCGTCGAGGGCGTCATTTTGCTGACACTCCTTGACGACTGTCTACCTTCTTCAGGGACTCGATTCTGCTTTTGGTCTACCCTGCCTGCTCTTGATAGACACTTTCGATCTCGCCTCGAAGGGGTGCCACTTACTCCTCATGCGTGACTATGTCGTATACACAATGGACTAACAGCTGAGAGATTCTTCATAGTTAGGGGGACCCCATCCGTTCTGAAGACTCGGGTACAGCGTCAGCAAACAGATTGATGGCTTCGGGATTGCGATCTGTCAGATGTGCGACGATGCGCGTGCCGGGGGTAGTGAATTGGGTTTGGAAAATCTGGGTGTGAGCCAGTGTAAGAACCATCCGCCGCGCGCTTGTAGGATGGGAGCCAGTTCTGTTCCCCAGGTCTAGAGATTCTCTCTTACAAAAGGTAGTTAAAAATGCTGGTCTGGCTTTTTTGGTAGCGTAGATGTTATCCGTGGCTCTCTGTTTTTGAATCTCATCAAATATCCAGATGCCTGGAGGTGTACTAGCGGTGGAACCTCTACGATGCTTGGATTGAGATGACCCTGAGATCGATTGAAGAATCATATAGCTGCAGCACCGACAGAAAAAAGAAACAGAAGATAAAAAAATATTCTCCGCCACTACACTAAGCCACCGAACGAACTTTTGGTTGGGCTTGACATGACTGATATCCCGACAGGATAACACTGCACGCCTAGCATGAACACTCCGCAGGGGCTCTTCAACCCAAATCAATATTGAACCCTCGACTACCCTTATTTTTTCAAGTCGAGTTTCTCTTTTCGGCCCCACAGCGCCAACCAGTCTTGAACGGACGCCCCCGAGTGCTGGAGCTCTGCCAGACATTCCTGGCGCACCTCGTCGCTCCGGATGGCCCGCAGCGCGCGTCGCACATTGCGAGGCGACGGCGACTCCAGTGCGCGAGCCACCCACTGGCCTTTCGAAGAATTGAGGGCCAGGACGACAGGGTAGGTCAGCTCCTTGTTGCGGAGATCTTCGGCCACGGAGCCTTTCAGCTTGGCGTACTCGGACGAGTAGAGGTTCTTGCAGTCGTTTTGGAGCTGCGAGTGCCAACTAGACATACACATGATTTAAATCAGCATCAGCCAGACATGGACGGCAGAGGGGAGAGCAGCTTACGCGACCAATGTGAGTGTCTCATCGAGGGACCGGTTCTCCAACACCAGGTGGCCGACCAGACGGAACAAGGCCCCCGTCTTCAGGGATGCCATGCGGCGGTACGCTGCTGTTCTCTCCGGCCCATGACAAGGGAAGCCACTCAGCCCGTCCCGGCGCCAGACGAGGGAGAGATCCTGACCCTCGAGGATCTGCTCCAGGTCCTGCATCAGCCATGGCGCCAGGTGAGGGTATTCCAGGGTCGTGCGGGCCAAGATCTGCGTGACGCGAAAGTACGCCCGGTTGGCCGTCTCCGAGGGCCCGTAGATCTTGTGCGCTGCCGGGCGTCCTTTGCGGAAATCGCTGCCGTCCGAGATGTCGTCTACCAGCATCAGACAGAGATGGATGGCGTCCATGATCTCCAATATCATTTCATATTGACTGGGGTTATCCTCCTTTAGCGTGGGGGACAGCTTGTTCACGAAGGGCGCCCAGTGGTGGTGGCCGTAGACTTTTCGGATGTAGCTGTACGGGCACTCCAGGGATGTGATTTGGACTGGCGATTGGAGTCCAATTAGCTGCGACTTTTTTGACCACCATCGCGGTCGCGGCCAGCGATCGAGGATCCCGTAGAGGACGCACCCCGCTACCACAATACAGAGGGCGGGGCCTAGCAGGCTACTGGGAATCGAAGTCATCTTTTGATCGTCACGGAGGTCGGGGTCGATGGCTTTAGTGAACGGAGACGTAGCATAAAAGGGTCTGATGGCTTAAAGCTCGCCAGGCTCAACGTGCCCTTCGTTTGTCGGGGGTGATAGGGAACCACAGATGGATGGGCATTGTGGTGAATTAGGACCCGATGAACGGCCCATAGCCATTTTGAGGTGATCAACCCAGAATAGCCATAAAAACCATGCCCTAGAGCCAATGATAAGAGATCGGCCGCACCGCGTTGAAACCGCAGAATGTACGAGCTCCCTAGAGCCAGCGCCAGAAGCAGAACCCTTGCAGACCACGGACGACGCATCAGAGAGTGCAGTGTTCTATAAGACGGGCCGAGTGCGACCAACCCTTGATACATGGATAAACCAACCACCCCATTCATCGTCTCCTTGATCTCACCCACTACCACCATACCTACTGCACCAAGAAAGTGCCACTATGGACGGCTTCAACGTAGCCCAGGCGCCTCCCGAGTACCTTGCCGTCAAGCCCATTGCGGACCTGTTCGTCGTGGGAATGGGAATTGGCTGGGTGATCAACTACGTGGGCATGGTGTACAAGTCTTTCAAAGACCAAACCTACGGCATGGCCATCATGCCACTCTGCTGTAACATTGCGTGGGAGGTAGTCTACGGCATCATCTACCCCTCGAAGAGCCTAGTTGAGCAGTCGGTCTTCCTAGCAGGTCTCACCCTCAATTTCGGCGTCATGTACGCCGCCATAAGATTTGCGCCCAACGAGTGGACCCATGCCCCCGTTGTTATGCGCCACCTGCCGCTTATATTTTGTCTTAGCATGCTGGGCTTCCTCACCGGTCATCTGGCCCTTGCTGCGGAAATCGGCCACTCGCTGGCTTACTCCTGGGGCGCAGTCGTCTGCCAGCTGCTGTTGAGTATCGGCGGCCTTTGCCAGCTGCTATGTCGCGGTAGCACCCGTGGAGCGTCGTACACGCTGTGGTAGGTTTTCTTCCCGAGTCCCTTGATACACGCGGATCGAATTGCTCATATTTCTGGACTCCAGGCTCTCCCGGTTCCTGGGCTCGTCCTGTACCGTGGTCTTCGCGGGTCTCCGCTGGAAGTACTGGAACAGTGCGTTTGGGTGGCTCAATAGCCCGTTGGTCTTGTGGAGCCTGGGCACCTTTTTGCTGGTAGATGGGTCTTACGGAGTGTGTTTTTGGTATGTTCGACGCTACGAGAAGTCTCTGGAGGAGCCGAGCAAGAAGTCCATGTGAGGGAGGGGTGGATGCCGGCAGCGAGGGCCCCCCCCCGCGTGGCTGGATATTGGCATTTTTGTCGGCTATATGTGTGGTGTGGAGCAATGAGATGCAGAAAAAACTGTCATTTGCGCGAGATAAGAAAGCGGGTATTCGGGAGTAATGAATGCGAAAATGGTGCAGATTTCTCGTATTGCCTGCTTTAGGCGGGTGATGCCCCCAGAGTCCCCCTTGCAGAAACTGTCAGCCAGCCACTCAGACTCAGAATCTCCGCGGCCTCCCCTGGGAGTATCTGTCATGCTCCCTTTGAAGTGTGGTAACCGGCGGAAAGGAACAGTTCTCGGTGTCTCGTTCCTGATCTTGGGGGTTTACCTGCCCACGCCACACTATGGCATCGTCAGAGCTAAAAGTCATCATTGTCGGAGGGTCCATCGCGGGACTGACGCTGGCTCACTTCCTTGAGCGCGCTGGAATCAAATATGTGGTTCTCGAGAAAGGCAGCAATCCTGCCCCCCAAGTGGGTGCCTCGATTGGTATCTTGCCCAATGGGGCGCGGATCTTGGACCAGCTTCAGCTATACGACGAGGTGGAATCGCATATTGAGCCTCTGGAGACCGCCACTATGTGTTATCCGGACGGGTTCACCTTTCATAGCTCGTACCCCAAGCTCATACACCAGAGGTCGGTTTGGTCTCCTGGGGGTTTTGTAAATGGGTTCGCGCTTCTATTACTGACCCCTCCGGGAATGGGTGTAGGTTTGGATACCCAATTATGTTCCTAGACCGACAGAAGCTTCTGGAGATTTTGTACACTCGACTCCCCAATCCGGGGAATATCCACCTCAACCGCCGCGTCACCGGGGTTGAAAGCTTCCCGGGTGGAGCGACGGTGACAACGGCGGATGGGACACGATATACCGGCCACCTGGTGCTCGGCGCCGATGGCGTTCACAGCCCCGTACGCGCCGAGATTTGGAAAGCAGACCGAAAGGGGATTGGGTTGAAAGAGAAAACAGGTGAGTCCAGTGATAATTCCCACCTTTCAAGGTCCCATGGCGGAATATCAGCCATATCAAGCCTTATCAAAATACCGTTCTGTTCTGTATTCTGGTACAGTGATTGAGATTTCATTGTCTAACAGAATGGACATGACAGACATGGCAGTGGAATACCGTTGTCTCTTTGGAATCTCATCTCCCATCCAAGGATTGGAAGTGGGAAACCAGATCAACGCCTTTTTCGACCATGCCACGATAGTGACTATCCACGGGAGAAACGGCCGTTTTTACTGGTTCCTGATCGAGAAACTCGCTCGTCGGTATGTCTACCCAGATGTTCCTCGCTTCACAGAAAAAGACGTGGCGTCCGTGGCCAATCAATACCGAGAGCGCCGGTTCTACCAAGACATCACGTTTGGTCAGGTCTGGGACGCGCGAGAAACCGTCTCCATGACCGCGCTGGAGGAGAATGTCTTTTCAACCTGGCATCACGGACGCATGGCGCTTCTAGGGGACAGTGTTCACAAGGTATACAACTGCAATATCCGAACCCCCTCCCTACAATCGGCCGATTGACCATCGCGACAGATGACACCGAATATCGGCCAGGGAGCAAATATGGCGATCGAAGACGCCGCCGTCATCACCAATCTCCTGATCAACTGCACGAGAGCAACGCAGAAACCCCCCACCGACTCGCAAGTCGAGTCCATTTTCGATCAGTATCGTCGAATCCGCTACGACCGGGTTCGGACCGTCTACCAGACCTCTCGATTTCTGGTCCGCTTCCAGGCTCGGGATGGCTTCTTCAACACCCTCTTTGGGCGCTATTTTGTTCCCTACGCAGGCGACCTGCCCGCGGACATGGCCTCCAAGACCATCGCGGCCGGCGAGGTTTGCCAGTTCCTCCCAGTCCCAGCACGCGGTGGGCACGGATGGCATATCTATCAACCCAGGGGATGGTCTTACCGGCAACTAGTTCCTCTGGCGTTGCTTTTGGTTTCTGTTCTTTCCATGGTGGTCTTGCATAGTGGGGTTTATAGATGTATCTGGACGCTTTGGGAGGTGTAGAATAGGCCATTGAAGGTGACACAATTGTCGAGATAAAAAAACAAACAAAACAATAGAAGAATTGATAAGATTGAAGCTTACAAGCTATGGGAAAAGGGCTACAAGAAGCATTGAGATACAAACGGTCAAATGTGTGGGTCAAAAACTGCGAACAATATAGGTCAGCTGATTATCTAGTCGATTGCCAGTCACTGCTCTTCCACAGATGTGAGGTCTTTGCCTTGTAGTATTTTTCTGGCCGGTTCTGGATGGCACTGACAGGGGGCTATCACTGTTTGCTTTGGACTCGGTCGGCGCCATAATCCTCGTCTGCGTGATCCCCGTCCTACGATGGCAAGCAGCTATTCATGGCGCTCTGGCCGGTCTAGCCTGTGTACTTTTGCTCCGTGGTGGTGATTGTGCCCGCCGGCAGCAGTCACATCGGACCGCATGTCTTCATCATCCTAGCTGAATTGGTTGACACCGATCGTCCCGTGCGTCGCTGGCTCATTCCTCACGCTCCGGGGAACGAGAACCCCCGGGTCGATGGAGGTTGGCACCCTGCTTTTTCTGCACTGGGACTACGCCCCGTCTGCTCTGGCGACTCTCGTATGGTCGATAAGTCGCCACTGTCACCGCGCACAAGCGATTGGTCTCCCAGTGAGCTTGCGCTATTTAATTGCAAGGTTCGTCGTTGGCAGTCTGCTATGGAGACCCTGCGACAAGACAATTCGTTTCCATCGCGCAACATCTGGGTCTCAGTCTGTGTCTGATGTTGAAGTCTCACAAAACATGAGAAAGGAAGCAAGGGACCGCTGCGCAGGGGGAGGGGGGGTTATTGCTTGAAGACAGCCTGCGAGACGAGGGCCGTTAGTTTGATTGCATCTTGCTTTCCAATTGCAAGAATCAATTTTCTGGTGGTTGTACAATTCCCCTTGCGGGAGAGGACATCAGACCGCAAGATTATAGATGGAGATAATGGGTTTATCCCTTGCGGTAAGCCACGAACCAGTCCTCGAGCACTGCCTCCTGTGCAGCTGTCGCCGCATGCTTAGATATGGCTCGCTTGGTACTATCGCATGATGGCACAAGTCCCTCTGTCATTCTTTTGTGCGCTACATACAGGCGCAAAGTGGACAACCTGGTTTGAAACCCCCCCAAGGTAAGGGACCGTGTGATTAGAGCGCAAGTAATCAATCATTCGAAGCCCAGCGCTGAAGACGAAGATTTTTCCCTATGGAGGCACAAAGAATCGCCCACAGTGGTCAATCCCGTTGCTCAATTGCCACGAGTCACCGACCAGCACGTTCGAAACCATGCTCTTTCTTGCTCCAGGCTTCATGTTTCCTTCCGCCCCAGTGTCATTGAGTCCTTATGGCCTGTTCATGGAGGACAAGCCCGTGATATCCACGGGCTCCTATATTGTTCGCGATGGAAAGGCCATCCACCTCCAAGCCCGAGTCCTTGCTCAGACGACAATTTCGCCGCCGTCCCCAAAGCCAGAGCCCCGAGCAGTTGAGGACGCGGTGGACCGCTACGAAGAGGTTCGCTCTGATACCACGAACAGACGGTGGCTGTTACGATGCAAGAACACCTCTAACACATAGTCTGATAGGTGGTCCGGGCCCCCTACGACTACCTCCGCTCTCTGCCCGGAAAGGACATCCGCGGCAAGCTAATCGCCGCCTTCGACGAGTGGCTCCAGGTGCCCGCAGACAAACTAATCATCGTCAAGGAGGCCATTGAAACCCTCCACACCGCGTCTCTCCTGTCAGTTTTTCGCGTCCACGCGTTAAAACAGACAACGTACTAAAAAGACCACCCACCAGGATTGACGACATCCAAGACTCCTCCAAACTCCGTCGTGGTAGCCCCGTCGCCCACAGTATATTTGGCATCGCGCAGACGATCAACTCAGCTAACCATGCCTACTTTCTCGCCCAGGAGAGGGTGCTCGCTCTGAATGATCCGCGCGCGCTGGTCATCTTCACCCGCGAGCTCCTCAGCCTGCACCGCGGCCAGGCAATGGATCTGTACTGGCGGGATGCGCTCATCTGCCCAACCGAAGAGGAATATATCGAGATGGTGTCGAACAAGACTGGCGGGCTTTTCCGACTAGCCGTGCAGCTGATGCAAACTCTGAGCACGGTCAATATGTATGTCTCACCCTCTCCCATTCAACTGAGCCCATCTTATAGTGATCAATCTACATGTAGCGACTGCACAGATCTAGTCGAGCTCCTAGGAATCATCTTCCAAATCCGAGACGACTACATGAACCTCCAAGCCGACACCTACACCAAGAACAAGGGCTTCAGCGAAGATATCACCGAGGGCAAATTCTCCTTTCCAATCATCCACAGCATCCACGCCCAGCCACGCAATACACAACTGCTGAGTATTTTGAGCCAGCGGACGGAAGACGAGTCTGTGAAGGCCTATGCAACGCGGTATATGGAGTCCACGGGGAGCCTCCAGTTCTGCTTAGACCGGCTGGACGCCTTGCTAGACGAGGCAGCTGAGTTGGTGAACGGATTGGAGCAGTTGCTCGGCCCCTCCAAGGGTATTCGGGATATCTTGGCTCTGTTGCGTGTTACGGGACGGGACCGTTGATGTGTCAGGTTGTTCCTATCGGCTGGATTATCTTTAGGGCAGAATTTCCAGCATCGGCTACTGCATTTTGGCATTCCGAGTGACGTGAGCCGGCATGGCGTGGTTGTGTATTCGGCTGGGTCTACTCTTGCTACGCACGTATCCTGGCAACGACCTTGACTGTATCAGATGGGGTGGAGACGGAGTGATTAGCAATCCAGGCCAGCAGACGGGAGGTGCGACATTAAGCGCTTGGGATGATGTACCACATATGCTATTCACTTGCCCGGCTTGCACCCACCATCATCATGCTGTGAATGCTACGATCTCTTTCACCAACTGTCCCCAGATATGCTGGAAATCATTAATAATAATAGTTCAACTTATAGTTTACTGTGCTCTGGTTCGTATATACTTTCCTGGTAAGTGGGTCTCTATCAGCGGGCTATACATCCCCTGATAGTCTTCAGTCATTTTCGATGGGAGTTCCTCCGTTTCAATAGAACCCTTCCCTTTGTTCGATCAAGGACTCGTCGATATTAATCTGTATGATGTACGTATGTATGTTCGGGGGTTTACTCTGGATACCCAGCAGTTCGGCCATCATCACTACCTCTAGTATATTACTCGAGGTCGACCGTCTACCTCACCTATACACAAGAGACCTAGATAATTCCCATCTAATATGTACCTGCAGACTTTGAATACCTGAGTTAGATATCTACGTATGTCAAAAGGGTATGTCTGTCTGTATGTACGTATGTATGTCCCAAAGACCATAACGACACCATGGCCTTCCTGTGCTTTGGTAAGTATGCTGTTATGCTGTTCAAATGTCTAACGTGCCAACAACCCCCGCCCAAGGAACTGCAGAAAATATGTAGAACAAAATGATTCAATCGCCAGAACGCCTCGTTCATGCTTTTCTTTGCTTCTTTTTCTTTTCCTCGAAAAAAGAAAGAAAAGAAAAGAAAAGAAAGAAAAGAAAAAAGTCTCGACAAGAAAATAAGAACAACAAAAGAAAATAAGAATGAAATGGAGGACGCGTAGGAGGGGAAAATCTCAAAAAGACTACATCCAGAAATTGGAGCTGAATGTGCCCTAGACGCTCATATGCATGCAATAGACAACGTATCACACCGTCATCTCAAGTGATGTTATATTTCCCGACCTGACCCCATGTGATACATCTATTCTGGGATGAAGATCGTGAAGATCGTGGAGATCGTGGGAAAAAGATAAGAAAGGAGATGACTAGCGATCGTGATCGTGCGGTGTGAATCGATCAGATCGTGCACCGCTCGTTTATCTCCGTTTGGGTCTGATGAACGGGTCGGTTTCCTTCTTCCGACGCATGGGTGGCGGTGGGCGAGGACCCTTGCCCGGTCCCTGTTGTGGAGGTATTGGCTGTCGGGGATTGCTCTGCAAGAAGGTTTATGTTAGCGTTGTCTGGAAGACTAGAGCCTTTCTTCAAGGATCTTTACCTGTGATGGGCCTTGCCCTGATCGCGGGCCACGCGGCGGTTCACCCTGCTTGATCGGGCCATATGCGGGTCCACTTCGGGAGGGTTTAACCAGATCCTGGTACATTATGCGGTTAGTTGGGTTTCGATAAAGCAGTTTTCCAGTAGGTGGGAAAGGTAAACTCACATCTGTCGTGGAGGGCGCATTCGCATCGATCTTACGCCGCGGCCCTTTAGGAGCATTAGGCGGTCCCTGCTGTTGGTCGGATTTGCGGGGGCGAGAAGCCTTCGAAGCATCTGCTGCAGGGGAATCGGAGTCTGTGCGCTTGCGCTTTGCCGGCCCGCCGGCGCCGTCGTTGTGGCTCTTGTTGGGCGGTTTGGATTCCTTGCCCTCCGATCCAGAGGTGATTTGGATAACTGGCACCTTGGGGTCGTGGCCGCCTATCTGCCGAGCTCGCTGGCGCTCCGTCTTCTGCTTTTGTATCTGGGCATGGCGCTGTTCCTCACGGCTGATCCGCGCTCTTTCGTGCTTCGGCAGGCTGCGAGGAGTCCGACAATTACTAACCACGTGCCCGAATTGGCCGCATTCCACACAGCGCTCTGCTGTACAGCTCCCGCGGGTGTGTCCGGGTTGACTGCATCGGAAGCAAGTGCCCTGGGCTTCTTCCTTTGCGTCTGTGTTGTCACAGTTGTGAGTCATGTGCATGAAGCTCCCGCAGTAACCGCACATGCGATTTTCGTCCAGGCCGTTGGGGCCTCCTGAGGGACCGTCTGGTAAAGGAGCAGGAGGGGTTCCTTTCCCGGATCCAGGTGCAGAGCTGGGGGATTCGGACGGAAGATTCTCGAGAGAGACCGAGGGCGGTCGAGAAACGGACGCGGCTGGAATTACAGCCGATCCTGACCCATCGGCATCTGCCATCTCGACGTTCTTGTAGCCAGTGAACTGCGGTTTCTGGAGGATCCTCAGGATGTCGCCGCTGGTATATACATTTCTTCGACGAGCATCCTTGATCAATCCATTCCAGAACTCTCCCTGGACAAGGGACTGGGAGTTTCCAAGCACCCAAAGCGAGGACTTGGCACGAGTCAAACCGACGTTCATACGGCGAATATCGGACAAGAAACCAATTCCTTTGTTCGAAGCTCTTACACAAGAGAAAATGATCACCTCGCTCTCCCTACCCTGGAACGCATCCGTGGTGTTGAAATCAATCATGTTGAGAATAGAGCTCCCAAACCTGGCAGAAAACTGGTTTTTCAACTCCCGCAGTTGGCCCTTGTAAGGAGTGATGATGCCAATCTTCCGCGCAAAGCTGAGTTCCCGGAAATCCGTCACCAGACGCTCGTACAGTTGCATAGCTACCTTTAGCTCCGCCATGTTAATCAGAGAGTGGCCCTTAGTGGCACTTTGGTGTAGACCTTGCACATCGAAAAACCGATATGGGGTGAGCAGCTCGCTCTGGTGCCACGGGCGAGTGCGAAGCTCTCGCATATTTGGACCATCCTGTAGTTTGCCGTCGTAGAATGCGGAGCTAGGGAAAGCACTGATCTCAGGATGCATTCGGTATTGGATGTCCAGGAGATGCACATCTCTAGGGTGATTTGCCTGCATCCGCACGAATAGACTCTGTTCGTACTGGAACTTCGAGGCGACCTTTGACAAAACCGTTGGCGGCAGCTGCTTAGGATCACCAACGAGGATACACTTCGAACACCCGTATTTTAATGGAATGAGAGCACTCAATTCAATCGACTGGGCCGCTTCATCGATAACGACCGTCTCGAACTCAATGCTCAAATTCTGGAACATATCGTGACCGCTACCACTGAGGGTAGCACAAATAATATGTGCTCCGTCAATGATATCTTGCTGAGCGCGTCGTCGGTTCAATTCAGCATCACGTGCCGCTGAATGGTTCCTATCTCTCGCGTTGTCAATCTCCTGACTCAATTGTGTTTTCTTCTTCCTGAGCAAGTCGAATTCTCTTTCCAGCTCTGCAGGAACAGGCAAGCCTTGCGCTTTGCATTGGTCCATCTTGGAACGAGCCTCCTTGAATCCCGTGTCGGCGGCTTTGTGCTCCATGTAGATCTTCTGCATGTCAGTCTCCCCAGGTTCTTTGCGCGAGCTCTGGTTTAATCTGGCGTTTACAAGTTCGTCCAATGTGACGTCCAAAACATTGGTGTTGATGGCATCACTTCTTCCCAGTCGAATAACTGACAACTTCTCCTGGCGCCCATGTACCGTCTTAACGCCATCTTTGAAACGCATGACCAATTCGTCAACAGCGGCATTACTAGGCGCACACACCAGCAGTTTCTTCGAGGTTGTGGTCCTCGCAGGAGGCCTAGCGTTGCCAATCGTTATCGGTCTTGATATCGCCACACCTTGCTTGCCGAAGACATTGCTCAAAATAGCTCCGACCATGGCAACAATTGTCTTGGTCTTTCCGGATCCGGGAGGACCCTGGATGAGAGTAAAGGCATCGTTATCCAAACCGGACTTGATTGCTTTGGCTTGGGCCAGGTTGACATTATAATTGTCCACGAAAGGCTTGAGGGCTGCGTCTGAGTAATTGAGGATCGGCGAAGGTTTAGCCCTGACAATCTCCTCGCACAGGTCATAGTATTGTAGGGCCATGAGAGCGCCGTATTCGCGTTCAAGAGGAGTCATGGATGTAATTTTGGCTCCCCATATCGAGGCACCGGGCGAGAGGGAGTTAATGAAGGGATTGCCAGGATTGACCCGGTAGGCAAGTTCGACCTTGCCCTTCTTCCTATTAATGCCAGAGACCCGGGCAAGACAATGCGGGGCAGAAGAATCCGACGTCGGAGAGCTTGACTTGGAAAGCAGGACAATGTCCGCTTCACCAAGACCCAAATCTTTCATATCAGGAGCAAGCATCGAAGTGTTGACCTCCATAAAAGAATCCACAGACAAACGAGTTGCAACCGTGATCTCGAATTTCTTGAACGTGTTTTCTTCCTTAGAGGACTGGAATCCTTGCCAGGCCTCCAGGATCAGAAGCGGCTCGAACGTCTTCTGGTACTCAATCGGGTCTCTGAATGCGTTGGAAACCAAACTGTAGTCGGTACGGCCGGAATTCGGAGGAAGATCACCGCTGGCGAAAAAGTCCCAGGAAAGAATTGTACGATGCAACGAAGAAAGGTCCGGCGCGAGTCGTGCCCGCATGTCTTTCGCGGAGCGCACCTGTTTGACCTTTTTGACAGGACCCTGTTGTTTCAACGACATTCTCTTGCTTTCCTCGTAGGCCTTGACGGCATCAGGCTTCGAGCTTGCCTTCGCACCAAAGAGCTCCTTGTCGAGCTCATCTTCGCTTTCGGATTCGGACTCGGAATCGGACGAAACCATCATACTGTCTGCCGGTGTATGATCTTTGCCTTGAATCCCGATGCCAGACAGCCCAGAACCCTGCTCGGCTGTTAGCTCCGCGACGCCAGCAGCAGGGAGACTCTTTTTCCAGCGCGCCAGCTCGGCCATATCACGTTTCTTCTTGGCCTCCCGTTCTCTCTCGCGCTTTTCGCGGAAAGCCTGAACGGATGAATTGGGCTTCAGCGGCGTTGGGGTTGGCTTAGGAGCAATCAGCCGTGACTTGGCAGCTCTCTCTGCCTTCCTCTTGGCCTCTGTGGCCACCCTCTCCTTATTAAGCTCCACGGAGCGGGACAGTTGTAACAGAACATCGTCGGGGATATTGTCATCAAACTCGTCCCCTGTCTTTGGTGGACTAGGAGTAGCTACCTGATCGGCGGGTCGGGCAAACGTGGTGATCGAGCTCTGTTTCTTGAGGCTGGCGGTCGATGCAGTGACAACGGGTTTCTTGTAGTAAGCCTCCAAGGCCCGCACGAGCTCTGCCTTCTCCCGCAAAGTCAGTATCGTCTTGATGGTGGAGTTAACCGCGACGCCCTCGATGAATTTCAAGGCATCTTCCTTTACGGTTGTCACGCTGAGTTCCCCAAGCCGCCGGAGAAGTTTCGCCACGAGCCCAACCAAGGTGGTCGCCAGGTATTCGTCCTTGAGTCGCAGCCACTTCACCATTGCACTCATCGTTGACGTGGGGGATTTAAGGAAGTTTTCGCGGGCAGGAACTTCCTGGTTCGGGTCGGCGTCAACCACAGCGCTTAAAAAGACACTGTACTGGCTAAAGAGCAGATCCGCGAATTGGATACTATCACGGCAGAATTCGAGCATCACAGACTTATCATTGCCCCTGAGATGCCACGATTCCGTCTCGTCGAATATGGTGGTCAAGGCTTGCCATAGATATTCCCAAAGCTTTTGCAACGAGAGAATCTCGCGGCGGTCGGCAAGCTTGCGAGTTCTGAGCATGCCGGTCTGGGTGTCACAGAGAATATCAACGATGTCCGTTCCGGTGTGGATCATCCTCGGCGCAGAGGCAAACGTTTTCATGTTGGAAATGCGCCGGAACGACCAGCTCAGACCGTACATGGTGGTGGTGAAAAAAGACTGCATCAAATGGGATATGGCATCTCGTCGGGCGGATTGACCGCTGACGTTCTTAATCAGGTCGACGGCAGCCTGGTAGGTATTGAGATCCGCGGCGAACAGAGCGGATATCAAGGCACTACTCGTGTCCTGGCTTTTAAACAGCTCGTCCAGATGCTCTGGCTTGAAATCCGCCAAGCGCTCGATAACTTGGCACGAAAGGTGCGTCAAATGGCCGTAGATCACGTTGAAGTGTGTCTTTTCCGGGCTGGCCTCGCCTCTCGTGGGAAACTTCTCCAGGCCTACCAGTGGCAATATGCCAAGAAGGGCGGACGTTGACAGAGCCAGGTTATCCTGATGCAGGTGCTTCACGACTGCATCCCAGATCGTCGCAGAATAGGTGCTTACGCCATGCTGGAGGGAGTTCTGCCGAAGGATCACTTCGTAGTCACTCTTAAGGGATTGGCACTCGAGAGCCAACGTATTACGAATAACATCCATACAAAGGGCGGTGATCTCTCGCTGCCGACCCTGTTCCACAGCGAAGCTGGGCGGCTCGAGGATCCTCTCGATGTTCGCACTTACGACCCCCATGGTCTCAGACAGAACGACACGTTCTACTGAGCCTCTCGATGATTCATGGTCAGTAAAACTGCGGAGGGTGTGGAGGAGGCTCGCTAGGCCGACGTGAAAGCAATGATACCTCGCCAAATTTGGGAACACGGGTTTCTGTAACCGATCCAGAAGCTGATATGCCAGGGGCCTGGACGCGGAAGGCTGATGGGCGCCTTTCAGCGATGACATAAACGGACCGACCCATGAGAGCATATCTTTCATGGCAGACTTTTCATACGGCTCTCCCTCAGACGCCTGTTTGAGGAAGGCTTCCAGCTGGGGGTTGTAGAAGACCTGCTCGATGATGGCCTGGGGCGATATCGTTTGCATCGCATCCCAGAAATCACTTGGCGCCTTCTCCAGGAAGATCTGGATCGTGTTCAACAGGAACCGTAAGCCGGGCGACTGGATCGAGAGATGTTCCACCGACAAACGGCAGGGGTCGATTTCGAGGGCGCGGAGCTGGTGGGTGATCTGGTCCTTGTCCAGTCTCTTCACTACAAGCTGCATACCACGCCAGAGTCGCTGGATCAAAGCTACCTGAGGCGGCTGCTGAGATGCCATCCGCAGTGCATCCAAGAGCCCCTCTTTCACAGCCCAGTCGAACTCCACTGTAGTCGGCGGCCGAGGATATCGCATCCACGAGTGGATAGCCCAAAAGCTGCGATTCTGGTTGGGATCAAATAAGAAGCGCGTAACAGCAGGGATGTAGTCCGAAACCTTCAGCGTGCGTTTCGTTTGGATCAGCCTAAACGGCTCATCGAAGTGCTCCTTTAGAAGACTGTCATTGCGCAGCATAGCATCACAGCTCAGGGTCTCAAAAATAGAGAGCAGCGACGCACGGTCCAGCACATGGAGCCCGATCTCCTGCGGGGGAACCTCTTTTAATTTCGCCGTCGCGGTAGCCAGATTCTTCGTGATGCGCTTGATATCCCAATCGTCGATCATGCGCGCGAACTTTTCAATGTCCTCGTCGTCGTAGTTCTCCTTCAGCTGCTCCATGAGCCAGATCTTCCCGGTGTAGTACTGCTTGATGCAGAGGTCGCATTTCTCGAGCGTGTCGTCCAACTTCCGCCAGATCCAGGCCTGTAGCTCCTCGACGCCGTCCTGGTTGTAGGCGAGAATTCGCATGCACGATAGAAATTTCTCCCTGCGCTGGGTTGCCTCCGCGACGAGGTCGGAGACCTTCTTGCCGGACTCGTCTGTTTGGTTTGGGTCATCGTATCGTCCGTGGTCGTCGTCGTGTTGTCGGGCGCACAGGAGGTGAATATTGTCGGGGAGGGCCTGGAGCTCCCTGCAGAGAATATCTTTCAGCCATCACGCTCGACTGCCAGTAGGACAGAAACAGTAGGAGAGGAGGACGCAGGAAGGAAATTATAGAAATTACTAACCCAACAAGATTCATGAACTCCATGGCTACTGTACGGTGTTCCGGGTGTAGCTCGTCGATAGAGAAGTGAGACTACCACACATCCCTCTTCCAAAGAAGGAACAGACAGCCGATTTCTCTGAGAAGAATACAAGTGAGAGACTCCTGAATAATTACAACCTCAAGAATTTCTCCTCCGTGAGAAACCACCTTAAACCACCATTCTGGGCACGTGGCGACAGAAAACAAACAGTGTCCGAGGGGGATGAGCGTGGGAAATCAATTTCTCCTTCACTTTCCCTGACGGCTCTTTGTCACTAGAAAGCAGCAGATCACTCGCCCAAATGCAAACAGACAGTGAACAAAATTGAGGCCCGTGATTGAACCCCCTTCCCTGGGAAATGATATATCCACGAAAGATATTGATCACTCCCAGCAACAACAGGAGAACTTGTCGATGCAGAGTGAATGAAATGAAAAACACAGGCGGCAACTCACTGCAGTACCAATCCCAGTGGATCCCGTTGCCGCATATTACTGGGCTGAGTGGAAGGCGGTGAGGTGCTTGGATCAGCCACTTTACGCGCGAAGACGCGCCACCTGCTTGACTACAAACGGTAACTATAGAGCTTCTATGTACCTTGCCAACAGCACGCGTCTATACACAGCAGGTCCTGATCTATGGACAGTATGACCATGCGACTGGCAAACATATACTATATATCTATATATATTTATATATATTTTTAAAAAAGGGAGTCTGGATCATCTGAAGCTAGAGTCACCATCCTTAGGTTTCAAGACGGCCTGTTTCAAAGGTGTATCAAAACACCCTAGACGTCAAAATAATTAATGTGAAATCCTTATTTTAGATCTATACACTGGTGACATATGAAAATCAGGCATGGAATTAATGTACCCCTACGCCGTAATCAAGATGGTATACAGTCATTGGTGTAGTACCATTGATAGATTGATCTCCTTGTATTTTTAGTCCCTCGGGCCGTTGGAATTCTGATAACAGTATAATGGGTACCCCGCGCTTCCAATGATGGAATAGGATGGTCTACGAGGTCTGGAAAAAATTTGTAAACTCGACTCTTATATAATAATTGCTAAATAGATGAATGACGGTGGCATCTTGAATAGAAAGACCACGGCCCTTGCTGATATACTAGACCAGACATTACTATAACCAGTCAACACTCCCCCTATTTCAAACCTCGACGTCATCACAAGGAAAGCTAAGCATAAACACCAACCAAAAGGTCCAGTTCACTAAAAGTTATCTCAATTATATAAAAGGAACAAAAAAGGAGTAAAGAAAAGGGGGGGGAAAGGGGCCACAAGGTCGAGTGAATGCATGCGCAACAAACGACAGAGGAATGTGAAGTAAGTTAAAAACGCTTTTGTACAAGAAATAAAGAAAAGAAGAAAGACATGACACCACCAAATAGATGAATAAGGTAGGATAGGATAGGAATGATAGTATAGAGATGTCAAAATGAAAATGTTGCGCCGAGCCACCAGCCAGTTCTGTATACCGAACGCCTTCTATGGGGGAATAAAAAAAAGTCGGTGCGTAGAAGGAAAGAAGACAAAAAAGGAAGAAAGAAAATGAGGTAACTCGTCAAGAGATAATGGACAAATCAGATACGTCGACAAGAAAAATGAAACCAACAAGGGGAATCACAAAAACCATCATGTCAGTACGCAGGAGAAAGGAAAAACAGAAAAAGAAATTGAAAATGAAAATGAAGGAAGGAGGAAAGGAAGAGAAAGGTCATGCATGGTGCGTCGAAGGATCATGAGGGCCCTTGAGCGGACTATGCGGCATTGGTGGTTCATGGCCCCCTGTGAGGTTAGTATCGACGCGTATTAGATCATGGTTGTTGTAATACGATTGATCTTGGTCGAAGGAATGACGCGTCTGATCGTGCCGGGCATAGTCCACTACTTGGGGGTGCGCATGCTGGGTTGTGTCCAGACTGGACGCATAGTTTGTCCCGCTGCTTCCGTTCTGGCTACGAGGGTTGTGGCCGAACGTCGCGCGCGCCATCGACGGCGGATATATCTGCTGCTCGTCTGAGAAGGGGTCCTGCTTCATACTGGGCTGGATTGGTTTACCCAAATCTGAAGATGCTGCTGAATCATCACTGTAGCCACCAGCGGGCGCAGACCCCGCTTTAGGTGGAACATATGCGTCATACTGGTCCAGATACTTGAACTTGCCCTGGGTGACTTGCTCACGGACAATGTCCACGTCAAGCGGGAAGAACACCTTCTGGAACGATTTGAAGGTAAAGCGCGGGAGCAAACATATCGTGACAGTCAGAAGCAGGACAACCCAGAAAGACAGGGACCCGTAGACTTCAGAACCGGCTTTGTAGAACTGGGCTGAGGTCGGGAAAGAGGAGTAGATCCCGGTCCACAAGAAGATCAGAAGCGAGCTGATGATATTGATCAGCAACGTCAGCCAGTCCCACCGGAAACTGTTTAGCATGATATATGTGTTGCTGGCAATAACCGCGCTGGATGCGACAAGGACGCCCATTCGGGTTCGGTCGTTGATGTTCAACCCGTTTTCGCGGACAAAGGTCGAAGGGCTGTATAGAAGGTACGGCATGAAGAAGCAGATGACCGACTGGTAAAGACCATCCAGCATGTACATCCTGTTTCTAGTTAGGTCGAGCGACACTGTTGGATAAAGGGGTATAACTTACCAAAACTTCAACTGCGACCACTCCTTTCGTTCGATACCTCGCATGTACAGTTGAGGTACAGCTAGGGACACCTTATCATCGACATCTTGATCGAAAATGCCAAGGAAAATCACAGGCAAGGATGTGAATGCAACGTTCACCAAGACGATATAAGTATAGTCGAAGAGGTAGGAGCCGTCGAAATCGTTATAAATCGAGTACCAGAACAGTGCGATCGTCCAAACCAGATTCTGCAAAATTGTCAGCGGTCGATCGATAAACACCATTTCACTTAGGCAACTAGACACATACCTTGTAGAAAAAGTTGGCAATACATTCTCCCAAGCGTCGGTACGAGTACCTGCCATGGACGAGGATAAGCCGTTGGAGGAAGCGGAACTGCCCGATGGCATAGTCGGAAGACATGGCTGCCTGTCGTCCTTCTTCACCAATGATACCGACACCAACGTCGGCTTCTTGAATCATAGCGACATCGTTGGCACCATCACCAATTGAAAGAGCCATGATGTTGAGGCCATTCTTCACCATGCGCACAACCGCAGCTTTTTGGGCCGGGCTGACACGACAGCAAAGTACAGACTTGCATTGCTTGCACAACAACAAGAATCTCTGCTTCAGCTTGTCGTCCAGCATCAGTCGCAAAGTATCTCCGTCGATGACCACGGCGTGCGTCGGTTCAGGAGGCGTGTGGTCTTTGCGGGCCGCGATGAGTTCCTCGTCTGAACCAGTGATGCCAAACCGTTGCAGCTGCCGGTCGAGTTCCTGTTCCGCTCGTTCCATTTGGTTTTCAGGGACATTGAACACAAGAAGCTCCATGTCGTTGTTGAGAAGGTTGCACGAAAATCCAATATTGATAGCAGTCTCGACCTTGTCACCAGTCAACACCCAGAGCTTGATACCAGCGTCGGCGAGGAGAGAAATGGTATCCGGGACACCATCCTGCAATCTATCCTCGATAGCAGTACCGCCGATAAGCATGAGGTTTTGCTCCATCTCAGTTGATACCTGTTCGAGCTTCTCTTCACGGTCTGTCAGGGCAGCTGCGGCAATGTCATGTTCTTTGCTCCAGACGCGGTACTCCTCTTCGGTGAGCTTGCGATCGGCAACACACAGCGTACGCAGACCCTCACGAGCAAACTCTTCGAGGTGTTCGGCCGTTTTCTTGCGAAGTTCCTGCTGCTTGCCGGGGGCCAGTCGAGAATAGATGATGCTATCCGCACCCTTGCAGAAGAGCCGAATGCTCCCGTCGGGCATGCGGATAATAGCACTCATCCGCTTTCTGGCAGAATTGAATTCCAAAGTGTTCAGCACGGTATATGTCCGCTCCTCGCCCATGACGTTCAGGACAAGGTCGTCGCCTGACCGTCCCACGAGGGTAAAACCACAATCACGAGCGGTACCGACCAAGGCGGCTTCATCGGGCGATTGGGCCTTGAACTCGACCTGTGGAGGATCGCCGGGAGTGTGTTCCGTGATCACCGTGTGGCATACCGCAAGAGCGACCATAAAGTGCTCCGCGGATTTCCTTTGGGCTTCGCCAGATTGACCATCCAAATCCGCTACATAATTCGGCGCGACGAATGTCAAATTCTCCTCGTGCAGATAAGGATTATCATGCAGGTCGCGCAGCATTTCGATCATTTTATTCGTGTCGCGAGCGATCTGCTCGCGTGCTCTGGCAGCAACCGCATCAGCGTCTCCTCCTTCTCGGCGGACCATGCCAATCTGAGCTTCCGTGAAAGCTTCTCCGTACGAAACACCGTTAACTGTGCACTTCTTAAAATCCATGACATTCTGAGTCAATGTGCCGGTCTTATCCGAGAAGATGTACTCGATCTGCCCGACGTCATCGGAGATATTCCAGGATTTCGGGATGCAAGCGATCTGTAGTTTGTCATAGTACATGAAGATGTCGCTGTGGATGAACACGGCCTGGATCGTGCGAACGATTTCGAGCGAAATGTAAAGAGAAATCGGGACTAAATTTTGGAACAGGATGACCGCCACCCAAAACGTGATGATACCGGTAACAGCCGGGGTGCTCCCGTACGCTCCGAAATCGAAGTAGTTGAGGGACTTGTTGTTGGAGCCCCACGCGATACCGTTGACAATGCCGGAAATGAGACACATGAAGAACAGGATGATGAAATTGTAGATGACGTTCCAGTTGAGGTCCTTCGCGAGGCGGGGGCGCTTGGTGGGAGTAACGCCAGAGTTCAGCATGATCTTGGTCTCATCACCGGTGAAGATGACAACACCAAGCGCCCATTCGGTGTTGCGAAGGGAGCATCCACGCAGCAGCACGTTGGTTACCGAGATCGGTTCCACCATTTCCTTCCGCGGTGCGTCCGGGAAATCCGGGTCACGCTGCTCCCAACGCAGGGCTCCATTGTAGGCGTAGAGATTGGGGTGTGGAGGCTCGCTATCAATGACGAATTCGGTCTTTTCGCAATCCCGGGCATGTCGGACCTGACGGCCACAATGGAGAGCCGAGCGGACTTTGAGATTGGTTTCTCCGTCCAAATTCTTGGTCTCCACGTAGCACGCACCGTCAGGGTCAGAAGTCGACAGGACCACAATATCAGCAGGGATCGGATCCCCGTTATACAACCGAATGAAATCTCCAACCTGGATGTTCTTCCAGCAATCCCGTTTGAATCGGGCCTTTCCGAGCGTCTGTTTAGCCGTGTCCACCACGCTGCCGCCTTTCCTGGGGGGTGTAGCTGAGGTAGTCGGGACCACCGAACTGTCCCGAACCGCTTTATCCGGGTGAAGAAACTGATCCGTCGACATTGGCCAATCCGGACGTGCTTCGGGCGAGGGAGACGGGACAGGCGTCATTTGAATGGCGTCTTCGTCAGCCCCATGGTCACCGCGATGGGAGTAGGTCGAGACACGGGGCGAAACAGTCGTCATGATAGACGCACGCCGATCGGTCTCTTGAGTGGCGGGATCGTCTTTCTTTTTCTTGAACAGGTCCCTAATAGTCCGGTACGTCCAGATAGTAGCCCGAGTAGACGCTTTCTTGATACGGCGCCACAAAGAGATATTGTCTTCGACAGAGTTGACATTGTTCCATTCGATGAGACGATATACGGGGGAATTGTTCAGTTCGGTATCGAGGACCGTACGGCGCCAATCCTCGATGGCATCTTTGATGGCGGTGATGACGATGATAACGATCAGGGGGACAGTATTGAGTGCGGGTTCATCGACACCGAAGATCGGGAAGAACTAGACAAGGGTTATTGTTAGCACAGAGACATCACGAATTTACCTGGGGATGAGTTGGAAGCGTACGCCAAGGATAATGATGAAAAGGAAATAAATGTTGGCGATGTTATGAAATTGAAACCATAAGTTCTTGGGGACGAACGTCAAGGGCGTATATTTCGCGGTCCGAATTTTGTTTCTGGGATAATTCGCCCGGGGGTGGCCGTCCTCGTCTCTCTCGGTGTCGGGGATGGGGACGTTGAAGTACACCCGTCGATTGTTGGCGTCCGAGTCGCCTTCACCATTAGGGTGCTCAGCGGTGGGCAGCTGAGACCTCCGCTTCTCCTCTTTCATCTCCGAGCGCTTGTGCAAACGGTCCATGATGGAGACACGTTTCCGCGTGCCTCCGGTGCCGCCAACGCGGGTGGTTGCCCATCGCTGACGCTTGGTGGGTTTTGAAATGTCGCTGGGAGTCTCCCGGATCTCCTCGGGGAAATCGCTGTTCTCCCCAGCAAAGTTGGCTGGAGCCATCTAGGCTACTTCTGACCCTCGAGAGGGCATGTAATAAGCAACCGTAGTGTTATTGAGACGATGGAGGGAGAGCATCCGCTCCGATGGGCCCGGAACCCACTAACGCAACCCGTTCGCGACACGTCCCCTAGGTAGATTCTTGTCGCAGGGCAAAGGGCGAGCGAGCGAGATTCGGAGAGTAAAGCACAGTATCGTCTATGGGAGGGGAAGGCTGGGATGTGAAGCGTGATTAAAAATCGCGGTCGGAAGGTCGAAGGGTCACGGCGCAATGGGAAGTCAAAAAGGTTCGGTCGAACAAGGCCGCAAAAACAAGGCTGACAACGAGTAGGCAGTGAGGATGTACAAGGGTTGTAAAGGAGGGGGAAAGTCGAGCTTAGCCACGATGGGCCATGGAGTATGCGATGTAATAAGCAATATGACGGAGTAAGCAAAAACGTGGAGGGGGGATTGATTTTATCCTTCAAAGCCTTTGGAAGGAAAGAAATATGGTTCGGAGGAAAAGATAAGTAGGACGAGAGAGAGGAAGAGAGAGAGGAAGAGAGAGCGAGAGAGAGAGTAGAAGGAATGGCGTTGCGTGGAGAGCAGAAACACCCTCCTTTGACCCCCCAAAAAGAGTGACGAGAATGGTAAGTATCTTACCAAACAATACGCCACCCGTACACGGTTCGTCGGAAGGAATTCATATTCATAACCTTTGTCAGCAGCATACAGGGGAGCTTGACTCGTTTAACCAGGGATACCCAAGTTTCAACTATTATTAAGGAAAAGACCAATGGGCTCCAGAGTTTTCTACACCAGGCAAGACCCAGATATTCCAGCCAAGGACGGTGAGATTTGTGCATTATGATTATTTTCTCAAAGAAATCAAGAGACCGACTGTACAATGGCTTAGATGATTCTAATTGCTGACGATGGGGTCGGATAGTCGGCCCTCCCTATGTGCCTATGCTGAGGTTGCATAACGGGTAAAATACAGGGTATAACGTATCGATACCACGAGGAACCCCTAGCCAAGCCTTTACTATACACCAGCCTCGCCCCAGACTGCAGCATACAATCTGGTTCACGTCGAAAATCTCGGGGTGGTGGTGGCAAGAACAAGCAATGAAATCAGAGCCAGGATATAAGATTTCGGATTTCGGATAAGATGGCCCAGAGAAATGAAGGACTTGATTTGACCCAAGTATGGGTTGTTCCATATGTCTTCCAACGGTCCCGTCGACCAGCAGTTGGAAACCCAGCCCGATGCCGTATAGTTACCGAATTTCTCCCGCACGGATTCGGTCTAAGCATAGTGAAGTGGACAGGCTGTCCCAAAAGATCGAAGGTAAAAAGAAAGAGAAGGCCAGAATCATTCGTCATTTTTGATCGATCCATGAGTCTGGTTGGCCTTACCCTTGTTTCTACCTCCCGGATACCAAGCATTAGGTCATATTTCATTGAGGCAATCCTTTTCGGAAGCCACGGCAAGCAGGCTCTCACTGCTCTGTCAGCCTAGGAAATACCTGGGATATTAGAAATCAAACATAATAATACCCTAAGTAGATGGCTTTGACGCTGAGAAGACAGACGGATTATAATCTGACTATCAGAAAATCCGACGATCAGAAATCGGAGAGAAGAGCCAGAAATGTATACTCCGTATAAACCCACCCATTGTCATATCGATGATGTAAAATTCATTCAATCCTCTTACAAAGTTCATGGGATAGGAAAAGTCACCCCCTCCCATCGAGCCTTGGCTTTAGGGGGGGGGGAAGAGCTCGGAAGATAGGGTCTGAAACAGGCTAAGGTGTAAGAGACGGCACATGCTCTCACTCGATCGCGGACATCACATCTGGTGGTATTCAATTCCAATACTGTGGTAGAAGTGAAAAGATTGTCCAACTCCACCTGTGTGTATGGAGTATACTATCGCTGATCATCATGAAATAAATAAATCCTCGTATTATATCACTTTACCAGCTATGCATCAGATTTTCATATTTCCGAGTGTTCAATTCTATACGAGTTGCAAATTTTCACACCTAATCTTGGAGCTCGTGTATGTAATTAATAGGCTGTCTGTTAATTAAAATTGGTCAGGTTGTTTCACTTGGTCTGTGAAGGACATGGACTGTGCATTAGCTTGGGTCTCCCCTCAAGTTGATTGCTTACAAAGTACGGATAATTTACTCGAGGAGAATTCGCTTATCCCGTCGAATAAGTTGGCAGCTGCATATATCATTGCTGCAGTCCTCCATACCCTGGAATCTTCGAGATGAACTTTCAGGTTGATATCCCCGTGTTGGTCAAGAAAAATCAAGAAGCTGGTGAGCTGCTAGACCAACCCCTTTTCTTAGTATCCAACTCTCCCCTTTCCGAGTCTTGGCTCCACGATTTCTAGAAGCTCATTTACTTGATGCAGTTTAGTGTAGCTCCATCCATCTTGCGCGTAGCTTCGCAGCGTAATTTCGATGATCGTCCCATAGTTAGCGGTTCTTAACGTTATCCATCGATCAGTCCGGCTCAAGGTGGAGGACGAGTGATTTATTTGCACTCTTCTCACCTCCAAATATCAATGCTCAAGAAAAAGGTGAAGTCATGTGGCGCGCCTGTCATAATATTTCTATAAATGGCAAGATGCACCGCTTTGCTGACTGTACCCCTGCCTGCCTGCCTTCCTAGGCAGGCATCTGTTTGCGGGGTTCATGTTTAGGATTACTACGTAGTAGTCTTGGGAAGGCTGTCGGTGGTAAAAGTCAAGAGGGGGCGGTAAAAGTATTGGCCATCAAGCCACGTTCTGCTTCTCTCAGCTTATTAGGATTACGAATTTTCCCAAAATAAAAATAAAATAATAATAAAAGAGCCTCCCATGTCAATGACCGTCTGACTCGTACTGCCCAAAATACACCAAATGCCCAGATCAACTGCAAATGTTGTGGGGAACAAAGATGCAAACCCAAGTCAGATCTGCACCCTCGTACGCAGCCCCTAGGCTATGCCGGATTCGGCGGTGGTCAGATGGAGCCTGAGTCCACTGCCTTTGGGAACCCGTCGGCCAGCGACAAAACGACGCGATACTCCGACGGAGACTCGGAGGACTAGGTGCGGAAAGGGGCTACTCCGTGCTAGCTGGAGGGGGTTGGCCATATGGTGTTTATATTAAGTGTGGTGGGGGGGAAAAGAACAGAAAATAAAAAAATAAATATTCATAAATCAACAGTATTAACAAAAGATAATAATAAATAAATGAATCAAGTAAAATAAAACATTCAGTATCAGGTAATTATGTAACTGAATAATAGAGGATCGCTATATCAGCTCCATATTGACAGACAGTGGGACGAACTACGGTTTGTCAAAGCAAGGATAATAATATACCTCGTAGATGCCTCGCTACCACGGCTCACAAGCTGTCCAGAGTCCCAGAACACGCCTCCAAAAACAGACCAGCATAAATCCGGACGAGAAACCGTGAAACCTAAAATATCTCTTTGAGGAAACAGGTCGCACGACACAAAGAACACCAGACAATGCACTCCGGTCATGTGACTTCGTGGCAACCGCAACGCGCGCTCGACGTGTATGCTCGACCAGGAGAGAGATAGGGTAGCGAGAACCGACCTCCACCCATCGTCACTGATCTACCGCACGCGACGAGCCTGGCATGCCTCCGCCGCGCATTACTGCTTTCTTCAGACGTCCGGATTTTGCGACGACAAATGACGATCGGACCCCAGCCAAAAAGGGCCCCGCGGCTGCGGCTGCCGATGCCCCTCGGCCACGACCAGCAGCTGCCACCACGCCGCGACCTCCTCCGTCGACTCGGTTAGCAGACGCATCTCCTGATACCCCGGATGGACCGGAGATGCAGTTGAATCGGTCGCTGTTAAGCTCTGTGGCAGACCGGACCCACAAGGAACAGCATCTGAAATCACCGGGGAACGCAGAACCGCCGGCTAAGGAAACGACGTTGAGTTTGAATCCAGCCCATCACGCCCTGGAAAAGGGAAAGAAGGTCGTGGCCGACTCGGAGGGAGATGATACGGAATCTGTCGAGTCGTTTGAAGACCCCGAAGATCTGTTCTTTAAGTTTGGCAACCCGTCTCCGAACGATGGTCCCCATGATGGACCCGATGTTTCACGGAAGCATTCAAGCCTGTCTAGCGCGGGGCGTGAGTTCAGGATTGGCAGTCTTTCGCAGTATCGTGGCACGGCCCCGACATATACGAACACACTAGACAGTCTCGTCACAGAGGCAGTTGGCGATAAAGAGACAGAGGCTACTATTGCGCAGCTTAGAGCTACCTTGGAGATTAAACCGGGTATCAAAGGACAGCTAGGTGGGGAAGGTGGACGGCTAAACGAGGGTGTTTTAACGTCTGCCTTGGATGGTGAGGACAATGAACCAGGGCTACGGCGTCTACTTGATGCTGTTCGCAGAACCGAGGCATTCGACATCGAGAAGTCCTGGTCGTTCTTCGATTACCAAGATACTCAGGTACAAGCTCTGCCGTTTCCACGAAAGTCCATTAGTCCCGGAACGTACATTGGTGCACTGCGAGGTTTGTGCTATACTAATAGTCCGAGTCTTGCTGCCCTCGTGCTAAATGATCTACAGAACCAGAGTCGCGAGAGCGGGCGTTCCATTCCGGTGTGGTAGACTTTGCTCTTTCCAGAGGACTGTTGCCGGAAGACTTAGTGAAGTGGATCTTATTATCTGGTATTTCTGCTCCTTGGGTAGAATCATCAAGTACTTACACTTCTCAGTGCCATCCGAACCTCGAGAAGGTGTGAGACACGCATATTGCAGGGCTTTGAAGGTATATCACGGTCCCCTTTGACCAAGTTACCCGCACAATTCTAATCTTGCCTAAAGCACTTGACGTCGGAACGTATCCAGTCAATCATACGGCCGAAAACAATAGATGAGCTACTCCAGCGATTAGGCACGAGCGATTCAGCACTGTCTATTTCCGAGCCGATAACTCCCCAACCCCTCCCACCACGTAAATCCACCCGTGGCATATAGGCAATATCAAAAGCTAACGCTATACAGATGACGCCTTGTCTACTGCCTTCCGAAAACAGGAAGCTCTGTTGTCAGTTCTTAACTTGCTTGGTGAAGTGGCAGATCGGTAATTCTCCTTTCCATGCAATCAAGTCTTCTCCTAACGCGATGACAGCCTCTCGGACGATACTCGAGAGCATGTGCTGAGCATTCTCTTCCGCATCACGCTCGATGTCACCTTGACCAGCAAACCAATTCTCTGTTCGGAGATCGAAAAGACAATCAACGAGATACTCCTAAGCATGCCCGGCGACGCAGTAGAGTTGGTAAGTAGTCCTCCACAACGCTTCAGAGCTCTACTTACAACAACAGGCAAACACCGTCTGCACAACAGCCCACGCCACAATCCAAGACCCCATCTTCCAAAGCCGGCTCCTCACCCACATCATCCCCACAACCGAGCGCATCGCAGCCCTCCGCTACCGCCTCGCCGTCAGCTTCCTCAGCAAAGACGCCACCCTCCTAACCCAGCCCCTAAACAAGCTCCAAGACCTCCGACGAACCGTCACCCTCCTCAAAGACAAACGCTTCAACGTAAAACGATACAAAAAGAAAGGCGCCAACGACTACGACTACGGCGAGCTTGCCGGCATCATCACCCTCCTCAACGTCTCCATCGACTCCGGCTGGTCCGGCGTAGCCTTCAAGACCAAGGACGCAGAGCGCGAGTTCAACGCCGCGGTCGACACGCTCGCCGACCGCATCAGACGGATCTTCACGTCTATTGAAGACTCGGGCGCCTCGCATCTCAAGCGCACCCTTGCCAAGGAGGCTATGGAGGCCCTGCACTACCGCATCTTGTACTCCGTTAGGACGAAGCCGCGCCCCAAGAAGGGCCTCTTTGGGGTCTATGCTACTAGCGACAACGGGGATACCAGGATGATGGATCGATACACGACCCAGCCGTAACCCTGAACCGTGAGGTTGTTTTGACGGGTCTGGTGTTGTTCGGGGCCAGCGGGCTGGTCCCATGGTTTTGTTTGTTCGGCGTGCTGTCTGACTTTTTGACGACCCTTGACGACCTCTTTGGAATGCCACGACGCTGTCTTTCAACTGGCAACATCCAAATCTTTTGCCGTGTCAGCGGAAGCACTTTGCTGCAAATTCCCAAACCACTACAATCTTATTGGAAGGCCCGAAAGTGAGGAGCATGATGATAAAGACGTATATAGGACTGTACACAGGGCTATGGTGTTCTCTGAACAAAACGGGCGTAAGGCGCAGCATCAATCAAGTTACATAGATAGGAAGACGCAACAAATCGGAAATCCGAGAACAGGTATCTGAATAACAGGCATATATCTAGTTGTAGAACTTTCTGTTCTCGTTCTTCCCGAACAGCGTCTCCCTGACGGCCGGGAGGGCGCTGATTTCCAGCAACCGCAGCCGCTCTTCGAAGGTGTTGTTGATCTCGATCTTGCCCTGGCCGCCGAGAATGACCACACCACCGGCACTATACACACGTTAGCAATACGTCTGAAAAAAAAAAAAAAAGGAGAATAAAGGAAACATACGATCCCTCCGGCAACGGCTCCTCCTCATCCACCTCCACCTCGACCTCCTTACCCACAACCTCATTGAACTCCTTCTCGGCCTCACCAATCGCCTCCTTCACAGCATCATTATCCTTCGTCCGCGCGCGAACCACAACCTTGCTCTCATTCAGAGCGTACAGCCCCTCCAAGATCAACCCCTTCAACACAGCCTGGTACTTCTTCGCGTCCTTGGTCGCAATGCCGGAGATGCTATCACGGGCCTGCTGGAAGAGGTCATCGAGCAGTTCCTGGCGCGAGGAGAGCACACGGAGCCGGGTGCGGTTGGCGAGCGTGGAGCGCGTGATCTGTTGCGACATGGACGCTTGCTTGAACTTCTTCTCGTACAGGGTGTCGATGGCGGCGGTCTCTTGGCGGACGAGCTTGGATTTTTCGATGGCGAACTCCTCGTCGGCTTTGAGCTGGATTTCGCGCGCTTTCTCGAGCGCTTCTTGGCGGATGAAGGCTGTCATCTTGCGGAGCTCGCCCGCGACCTGTTGGGAGATTCGGTGTGAGATAGATACATTGTCATGGCGACCTGTTGTCTGTCATCCCTGATCGATGAGCGTGGCGTACCTGGTCGTCGGAGAGCGCATGGCCTTGCGACATTTTGAATAGATTATTTGATGCAAGACCGGAATAGGTTTCCAAGTGTAGATATCGGGTGAGTGACGTGGGGTAGACGAGTTCCCGATGCGGCGGAGTGTCCTAAGGAATGGGAAGCACAACCCCGGTCAGTGACTGGGGTTTCAAATGTTCGGTAAGAGAGGGAGGGAGGAGGCCACAGGGAAACACCCCGTGGCACGAAAGGAATGAAGGTAATACACCGGACGGAGACTCACAGGGGATGATTTTTATAAGAATGGGGTAGGGAGAGAGGTTGAGTGGAATAACAGCGGTGGTGACGGGTGAGGTGACCAGCGGGAAGCGGATCGGCTGACGATCGGGGTCACTCGTCACTCTCGGTCTGTCGTCCTTGGCGGCTGTTCCCAAACACCTTACTTGCTACTTTATTACGTCCACAGTACCTGGATTCTATCGACTCGATTCTACTTCATCTTCGCCGTCTCCGTTGTGGCCTCCACGTCCTTGGGTTTTTATTGACTTCCTGGGTGGATTTCCTCGGCTTCTCTTCCCCTCCTCCCTCCCGTCTTCCAATTCTCTCTTCTCCGTGTTAATCATGGACTCCGTACTGTCCATCCGACCTCGTCTGTTTTAAATGTACCATTCTTCGCTACTCTTTTTCCTACTGGCCATTGCTCGAGAATACCCGTCATGGGGAATCTCGGTGGTTTGTCGCCCGAGGGGAGTGTCGCGGTCGGTTCTTCTCCCGCCTAATTGCCTCAAAGTATCTACTGGTGACCGAGCTAACGGCAATGTCTACAGGTTGGGGTCCTTGTCGGGTTGATCTCGACCAGTCTCCAGGCCATCGGGTTGACTCTCCAGCGCAAGTCGCATATCCTCGAAGACGAAAAACACCCTTACGACATTCGCAGACCGCCTTACAAGCGTCGAAGATGGCAGGTACGGTGGAACACAACGCCTCGAGCCCCAAATGGTGTCGCGCAAAGCTGACCGTTCCAGGTGGGCATGGGGATGTTCGTTGGCTCGAACATCGTAGGCAGTACCATCCAGATCACGACCCTTCCGCTCCCCGTGCTTTCCACCCTCCAAGCTGTCAGTGCCCCTCTTCCGCGGTGACGAATCCCTGGAGTTGACCTGAATCGATCCATTACAGTCGGGACTCGTTTTTAACACCATCTTCGCTACTTTGATCCTGGGCGAGTCGTTCACGAGGTACTCGCTGATCGGCACCGTCCTCGTGTGCATTGGCGCAATCCTGATCGCGGCCTTTGGGGCCATTGGAGAGCCGGCGCATTCCCTCGATCAACTCCTAGATCTTCTCCAACGCCGGTCGTTTATCCTGTGGATGGTGGGGACCATGGTGATTGTGCTGGTCATCTTCGCCGCGTCCAAACTCCTGAAATACCTCACGTCCCCGTACTTCCGGTCCAAGCATCCGAGCCTCCGCAGTTCATACGTACCGTACCTGCAATTGTCCCCGCCCCGCGTGCGACTTATCCGCGGGCTCAGCTACGGGTCAATCAGCGGGATCCTCTCGGCCCACTCGCTACTCCTGGCGAAATCAGCGGTGGAGTTGCTCGTCCGGACAATCGTGGACCGCGTCAACCAGTTCAACCGGTGGCAGTCATGGGCGATTCTGATCGCCATGATCACTCTCGCCCTATCCCAGCTATTCTACCTCCACCGGGGCCTGAAGCTCTGTAGCACCAGTGTTCTCTATCCGTTTGTCTTTTGCATATATAACATTATCGCCATCTTGGACGGACTGATCTATTTCCGTCAAATGTCCCTGCTGACGAGATTCCACGCGGGACTGATCGCCCTTGGGACAGTCTTTTTACTCGGCGGGGTGCTCTGCCTTTCATGGCGGTTAGAAGATATCGAAAGCCACACCGCTGTCACCGTCGCCGGGGCCTCCCAAACCGGATTAGGCCCCGGCATGGCCATCCTCGAAGAGCACACGGAACCACCGCTTGATTTAGAATTCGGCGACGACGAAGAGCGCCACGCCGGGGAGCGCGAGCCGCTCCTACGTGCCGCACACCGTCCACCCCCACGCGGGCCCGTCCACCAGCGGACCCCCAGCCTACCCCTCCATTTCTCACCGTTAGCCCACCGCGACTCCGCAGACGTCGACCCGGCCTCAATCTGGGCCGAGCTCGACGACTCCGACTGCGACTACAGCCCCACCAACCCACGACCTCGTGCCCAAACCCGCGCCTTCACAGGATCATCCCACCTCCGCCAGGGAAACAAGCCCAGCGGCGCGCAAACCGCACGAGACACCTCCTCCCGCCGAGCCCGCCATTTCTCCCTCAACCAGCTAACATGGACCCCACCCCGCATGTCGTCCTTCGCATACGGATCCACCAAACCCGCGCGCCGCACCCCCTCCCCGGGGTCTGGAACCCACCAGAGTCAAAAGCGGCAATCCTTCCCAGGCAACTGGACAGTGCCGGGCTACGGCAGCACGCAAGACACCAGCCGCGACGACAACAACAACAACGACGACGACCTCCACTCCCCCGGCAGTCGTCCAAACCAACCACAAAGCTCTGCATCCGCACCCCTCGCAGGCCCGAGGAGTATCGTGCGCGGGGCCTGGAGATCCGGCATGCGGTATCTGGCCCGATTGACAGGCGGCCCAGGCGCACGCAGTCGCAGTGGCCAACCACATGATCCTGAAACGGACGCGCTGCAGTCCAACCCACACTAGCTTTTTTTTTTTTTTTTTCTTTAATTCCTCCGATCGAAATCAATATATACATCTTGAAATGAATAGAAGTGGCTTTTGGCAGGGTGCAATACTCTCAATTATATATGCTGCAAGCACTCCTACTCAGTGCTCAGGCGCACGTAAATACTTACTCTAACCACGGAGTATCGTCACGAGCAACCTCTCTTTCTCAAGCCAAATCAAATACCCAACTCATAACACTCCATCACTCAAGATAGTATGAGATGAGATAAGATGAGATGGAATGAAGTGAGATGATGTCCATATAGCATGACGTCACTCCATCTACCTATCTACCTGTCCATCATAGCACACGTCCTATCTAACATTGGATATATGTACCCTCTAAAGCCCAATGGTAGACTTCCTTCATAAAGGCTACTACATAGTGATCTGCTGGCTTCTTCCTAACAGATGGAAAACGGCACAAGACTTGTGCGAGTTCATAATGACTATAAAACAATCAATCAATCAATCAATCAATCAACTACGCGGATGGAAAAATAAACCAAGTGATCAAAGACAGGGCTCCTATTTTCTCCATACCATACATACATAGCATATAGTTTACTTCCTACCTGGTAAACGGCAACGGTAAAGTTAAAAAGTAGAGGTAAAGGTAAAGATGAAAGGAATCCATCCAATATCATATCAAGTACTCAATCACATCACCCTGCGTCCCCGCTTCGGTTCCCCGTATACCATTTCCCTACTGCTTCCTGCGCTGCTAGGCCCGACCAGTGGGCCAGCGGGAGACAGTCGACCGTCGACGGATACGGGAAACGAAGAGAGAAGACAGACAAGGTAGACTGGAATAAATCAAACACGGTAAAAGGAAACATCGAGTATGGAAAATGTCAAGGAATAAGCAAATTATGGAATTGCAAGGCAGGGTAGCCACTTCGCCAACAAAAATAAAACATGAGATGACACAAATAGAGATGAAAAGCACCAGAAACACCGCCACTTCCACCGTCGTCTAGGTGATGATTAGGAGATGGTAACAAAAAATGATTAATAGCGTCAGAGTCCAGATCAGACAGTCCGCATCCTTGATGATTCACAGGTTACCGCCTTCTCTTTCTTTTTTTTTGTTTCTTTTCTTTCCTTTTCTTTTCTTTCCTCACTTTTTTTTTGTCTTTCTTTTTTCGTTTTTCTTGTTTTTCTCCTTCAAGTCTCCAACCAAATGGGACAAAATGAAAACAGACATGTGCTAACGCCAATATTAGCGACTCTGAATCCTGCCGATTGGGCAGGCGACAAAGCAACCCGGTGTGGTGCCCTCGGTTGAGACGTTCTGTTGACGCAAGACAATGGCCGCATTAACAAATGCAAGGGATTGGCAATATATTCAAAGGGTATCAATCGAAGGCCGGGAGAAGTGGAGTTGCACATGTTGAGGTTGACAAGGATGCGAAACCAACCGTCTGGACCCTTCAGCTTCAAGAAAAGAGGTATGTATGTGCAGTCACAGGGTCACTCCTGCCTACGCAGTGGGTTGGTGCTGAGGGGGCATCCGGTTGCCTACGGGCATGCCTGGGTACTGCCCGCCGGCCTGCTGTTGCTGTTGGAGGTTCTGGTAGTAGGCCATCTGCTGCTGCTGCTCGTTGGTCATATAGCCCGGGTGCATGCCGGGAGGCCGGGGCATGTTGGGCTGCTGGGCATTGACATTGTTGTGGCTCACATCCTCGGGGGCTTCGGCGGGGACATCGGGAGCATCGACCCCATTCTCGTTGGTGGTGGGATCGGGGGCATTGAGGCAGGCCTGTGGGCGATGGGGTTAGTCGATATGTTGGGAAGGCGACGCGCGCGCCCGCGGGGAGGGGCCGTCACTCACCTGAATCAAGTTCTTGCCCTCAGCCTTGGTCACCAATGGTTGCAACTTGGGCGTGGTGAAGGTATATACGAGGCCAGTCTCAGACACGACCAGCAAGAGGACTTGGGTACCAGTGAGCACAGACAGCTCGTAGGCCTAGTACGCGATCGCATTGAACGTCAGTATCGCATCGAGTGGTGGTGACCCCAGAGGGGGGAGGTAGGGGGAAGGGCTCCAGTCAACCCAAACGGTTGGAAACCCCAAAGATCGGTCCAGACTATAATCCTCGGGGCAAACACCAGGGTGGGAAGGAAAGAAACGCGCAAAAAAAGGTAACGCACCTTCTTCATGATACCCGCCTTCCGCTTGGAGAAGGTGATGTGGCGACGCGACTTATCCTGGATGAACTTGATCTCGATCTTTCTGCGCTCGCGACCGGGCTTGTCGTCATCGTCATCATCGTCATCAGCGCTCATGCGATTCCGTTTGGGGGCGCGGTTGTCAGGAGCGCCGTTGCCGGTGGCCTGCTGCAAGTCCTCCTGGGTGGGAGAGGGCTTCTCCTCATCAAGGGCGGCAGTGATGTCGGCCATGATGAAACGGGGGCAGGACAGGGAGAGGGGGAGGGATGAGGACTCGGCGACCGCAAAGAACAGACACAAAAAGGATCACAAAACCCAAGTCACCAAGCACAAGGGATTTGGGGGGAGAGACTGGGTGAGAGTGAACAACAAATGCCCAAAGAGGAATGATGCTTTTGAGGGGAAGGGAGAATGACCAAATCGAGTAACGCGTTTGCTTCGCAGGGTTTGGGTTCAGGACGAGAGGGAAAGAGAAACGGGGAGGAAGAAAGTCGAAGAAGGCAAAGTGCGGGTTGGGACAGGCAGGCGGTCAGTCACGTGTGTGTGCTTACCGTTCATACCGTATTGTCTGTATCACCGGGGTATGATACTCACATTCTTTACATTGACCTGATATCATTTTAGAGCCATACTTTATTCCGGGTATACTATTCCAGACTATCATTGATTACTATGTTTCCTTCTGATATTCTACTTCTCTACGTAATTGTTCTACTCAAATTAAAAGAAATCATCAGTCCAACTTACCGTACAGTCCATACCCGGGACCGTCCAGGCTCCCCCGGTGGGGAATAGTCCCCTCTTGGCACTTCTCACCATTGGATCAGGCTGCAGCCGGCTTTGAGGATTCGACTCAAGCCAACTCACATTCCCCACTCCGTCATACCATACCCGTATTCAATACGGCCCCCAATGGACTCTAAACAGCTGCAAACAGCCCAGGTGTATTAATAGCCACTCTGGTACCACCAGTTACATCGATCGGTCTTAGATAAGCCACTGTCTACTGTTTGCCACTGCCAGAGGATAGTTCGTCATACTTCTGATAGATTCATGGAACAAGATTAGTTCAGTGGTTCAGTAAAAGTAAAAGAAGGGAGGGTGAAAAATAACAAAAAAAAATAATGTTGATACTTTCTTTGTTCCAGCTAATACCCTTTTTTTGCGGAGGTGTGGGATGGATACCTCAGGGTACTGCACTACTAGTCCTACTGTACTACTGCGGAAAGTCACGCTATTCCCCCCCCCCTTTCGACAGCACTATTGAGTATTGCTCAATAACTAGTGGACGCTCTAGCTGTAAATTAACACGGGCAGCCTTGTCTCTTTCTCCTCCCCGTCTGCCGTACGTCTCCCTGTCCTGCCGACCTTTCAGGAATTAATCCTGGTGGGCTGGACTCTGTCTTTGAAGTGCGGGCTGTCGGCTGGGGTTGACAAGAGTAAATATTTATTTTCAGACCAATAACATGGTCTGTATGGCTGATAACAGGACTTCATACATGAGTTGAAGTTAGAAAAACAACTTTCCATGTCCAGTCCCACATAATCATCAACCCTATCTTATACAATCCACATACGGAGTAGCCCGGTCTCTTCTCCAGATCAATGAAAAACATACACTTGCCGAACAAGCCCACCAATACAAAAGACAAATACTCGACCGCAATAATACTACTGTACACGCTCGTGTCTCGCGATGAAACCAACGGTGCGTTCTAGTCTCGGGCGGTCCATGTCTAGATCCTGTCCGCCCAGCACCGCAGTCGCAAGCCCTATCGCCGTGCATGGCCAGACCTTGGTTTGATTGCGCAACTCGAACTCGAACTAGCAAGGAAGATATTCTAATGGCTAGATTCACCAAAGTACAGTCTAGTCAAATCGACATGGACAAGAACAGTATACATCCTTCCTCCTCTTACATCCTTCCTCCTCTTTCTGTATATCTACACGGCATCGACAAGACAGCACATCTGTCCACTCATCCATTAGTTCATATCCTCGCATCACCCAAATCGAGACTACCCCCGTAGAAGCTCGCCCGACTTACTTATGTATGGACAACCACTATCAACCGATACGCACCTTTGTCTCGCAAAAGTCCGCTCTCCACGCTTATGCCCCGCGCGCCACCTCCAGGTCCGGTGCCGAAGGGCCTGCCTCGCATCCCTGTATGAGCATGGCGGTTTTCCTTCACAAATCCCGGTCAACGCCGGGGGAAGAAAGAAGCCCTGTCAATCGAGCGGGGTAGGTACATCTGCTGGGTTTTTTTTTTCGAGTAGCTGTCAGTGGGTGATTCTCAGGCTCGATTATTGCATAGGTTTCATTGTCAACTTGATGATAGGACAATGGATGCAGCAGAAAGAAAGAGAAGCATGGTTTTGAATGCAAAATGCAGGTGGTTATCGTATCTATCCCACCAAGACTCTGATGTCAACGTGCTGATTCGGAGTAGACTGTCTACCTCTCATCAAGCTTCTTGTCCCTGCACTCGTCCTCGTGTATATATGCATGTGTAAAGCAACTTCCTTATATAATTAAACCTCCTCCTTATCAAGCAGTTTACTTCACTTTCCAATCTACAAGACAAGAGTCAATCTTTCGAAGGCAGGATATCACAAACCAAAATAAACATATGTGTCACAAACACTATCACTCGAACCAGCCCTGACCCAGAGACATCTAGACCCAACAATCAAGATCTGATATTATATTCCTGCAGGGCATCAAGGGACTCTCTACACCATCTCATCTCATCTTCACTTACCCAATCAACTCTAATCCGGTACCAGTACCAGTACCAGCACCAGCCATACAACAACCCATGCCCTTCCTTACATACCATCCGACACCCCCCTCCACCGGACGATATCCCCGCCGTCCAACCCGCTGACAAACACAACGAACGACCTGCACGAATTGATTGACCCGGAGACCGGGGCGAGGGAGGGGAGGGGGCCGATTGCACAGCTGGTCTGACTGACTGCATGGGCGGCCCGCCTGGGGTTATGTATATGCAGTGTGTCGCTAGAGTAGAGTTCTGGGTGTGGGCGTAAATCAGTGATAGGCATCTTATTCCCTTAACTTATAGATAGGTAGGTACTTGATCAGGTTGATCTAATGGTAGGGTTTGTAGGTCGGGAGGATTGATCTTCAAATATATCCATCTATCCGTCTCTTTATCTATATACTAAATGCAAGATGTAGAAGAGGGAGGCATGAGCTAACTTGTAGAGTCTCCTCGCACAGATTGTAGTTTCGCAATCTTGCAGCTATTCGCGACTCTGCTGTCACCATAAGATATGTCAAGATCAATATCAATATCAACAATATCATCCATATGTTGACCATGTTGATCAGTCCTTCCCAACACACGCATATGCATATGTATATATATATACCCGCAAGAAACCCAAAAACATCGACAGTTTCTATACCACCAGTTATAGATACAGATATGGATATACATATACATATACATCCGCCTCACAAACGACCGAATCAACCTACCATAACGAAGCAAGCGATGACAATCACCTACATACCTTGCCCACCTAGTATCCTACACATACCCACCCCATACGCACCAACAATCACATAAAATAAACATATCCCCAATTACCAACTCCGAAAAAAAAAAACCTATCACATATCAATCTAATCAAATAACCAGGATCCTATCAATCAGGGTTGACTTGGCGACAGCCTGGATGAGATCATCACTTCCGTGTCCCGTCCATGGATATGTAGATCAGTATTTAGGTAGTATTTCTGTCTGGGCCCCACTGCAGTGTCTGTTTATCTCTCATGCTTAACGCGAGGATTAGAGATAAAATTCAAATATAATTGGTTGATAGATGTACAATCCTTCATGTTGATTGTGCCATCCTAGAGGATTGGCCACTGTAATCAGGCGATGTAGGTCGAGATAACGATGAACGTCAAACTACACGTCAACCGGGAGTACATTAAACAGCCACATAGTGACCCTAATCTAGGACTTAACTCGTAATATTCTTCTTCCATAAAATAAGCGCTAATCTCCAGAACAATGGACCACATGAATGGACCACGCGAACTCTATTTTTACAGGATGCGTAAGAAGCTTCGTGATGGAGCCCTCCCAAAAAAAAAAAAAAAAACAAAATGAAAGAGAAGGAAAAAAATGTTGTCGACTCGCCCAAGTCCCTGAGGAGCTATAGGCTATAATATGAGATGGTATACCCAGGGCTCAATCGTGGGATTCAAACGAGATCTGCTCTTCGCTGGAAACCACCAGTTCCGATCTTTGACGCACCATTGTTGACTCCGCCATTACAACGCCGTAGGAGCATTCAAGAAAATGTAATCGAAAAAAATAGGAAGAAAAGAAGTGTCTGAAAGGTGTCGTTGGTCAAACAAGAGCGTAGCAATGGGGACAGGCGCTCGTGGCGTGGCGTGTTGGTTCCTCATAAAATTGACCATTCTCTTGGCGTGGTTGGGTGATCAATTAGAGAGGTGGGAGGAAAACAAATAAGTGAAGGGAACCAGCAAGGTGCGATCAAAATAATGTGCAAGAATGGAATTTTCTTCAGATCCAAGGACCAGCCTCAGTATCGGTCAAGCGGTTTCTCATTTGATCCGTAAGAGGTAGGCTTTCAATTCCTGACATAGTCCTTCACACCGGCCCCGCCACCACCTTGAGGGCCAAGCCACACGACCTCAATGACACTGTGGCCCTCATCTTCTTCCCTCACATACCACTGGTGCACGTTATCGCCCACGACGAAGGCCTCCCGCAGGTGCCACCGGTCTTTGGTGACGCCTTCTTGGTCCACGGGACGCATACCTCCCAGCCGGTTCTCGTATCCCCGGGGATCCTCTTCCCACGTCTTCTCGACGTCGTCGAAGTTGATGATATCGTCGGGAATGCCCTCGTCATAGGTATATTTGATCAGTGATTGTCCGTTGGTCATGATCCAAAACGAGCGGATCGTCTGGCCTGCACTGTTCACGTGTTCCTCCTGGTCGAAAACCCAGCGACGGAGAACGGACCGGCGACCGGCAGCAGCCGCGACGGTGGTCATCTTCACGACATCCTTGCTGTACCAGCTGTTCCAGTGGTGAACCGACTCGATCTTCTTGCCAGACTCGTAGATTCCGTCGACATCACCCTTCATATCCATCTGGTACAGCGAGGGCCAGAGGGTCAGCTGAGTTTCACCATACCGCTGGATACACTGGCCGAGCTTCTGGTCACCAGGCTGGTCGCCCCACGACTGGCATTCGTCGTAGTACTGCTCCAGAACGTCCAGCAGA